CTTGCTGAATAATCTTCCCTGAACAGAATGAATCAATAACCTGGCTTTATTTCCAATTTATGAGATGAATATTTAAACACCACTATGTATTTCTATTCACATCACTTGCAAGAATATCAGTTACATCCAACTTAAATGTTCATTTCTAGAAATCTGGAGATTGTAGGTCCACTCTCACCAGCTGTTCTATCAACAGTGTCTCTTCAGGGTGGTGTCCCAAATAACAAACACCCCAGAGAGTAACAGAAAATCCAATTTTCCCCTCACCTCTCCCGTTCCAGTGTTTGCATCTGCTAATGGGTCAAGCACCTCCCTGGGGACAGGGGATAAGTCCAAAGGGCTGCATTTGCAGTACCGAAAACATTCCTCCCTTGGGTTCAACTTGGAATACTCCACATGTGCTGCCCAAGCCCTTGGCCTTTTCCAACTCCCCATCCCGCACAGCTGCTACTCCCAAATCCAGAGGCTTTGTGCTACAGTTAAACACCAGAGCCCATAAAGGTGCCTCTGGCCAGGGGCTAAGCCTAGAGGAGAAACTTTCTCAAACTCCAGCAGTTCAGAGAGATACTGCCTCTTTGGGCTGGGCTGGGGGATACCTGCCTCCTCCAATCTCGGTCCTCACCAGAAGCCCACGAGTGTTGCCTAAAGAATGTCCCCTATTAAACTGAAGGAGATGCAAGTCAAGCTGAGCCTCCTGAGCTATTTGTGACCCTAGGGAAGATCCCCACCTGGCTTGCTGAGAACACTCCTTCCCTCCTTGCACCACTGAGCCAAGAGCCTTCTGATAAACCTGGCAATCCTTTAGCTTCACTCCTGGGGGCCATTTATCTGGGATTCCTGCCCGGTGTCTTTCCTTCCTGGGCAGCCTTCTGTTCCCATGCAGAGGTGACTAATCCCTCTCCAACTACCTCAAAGCATGCCTTGATGGAAGGACAGCCATGTCCCATCTGTCCGTGGTTGGAACAGAGGCCTAGTTCAACTTGTGGACATTCTCAGCAGAAGGGTGATAATGACAGGGATGATCAGTAACGCTTATGCAGTGTTTATTTTAGGTGCATATATCAGGAACTCAGTGACTAGCCCTGCAATCCAAAAGACACAAATACAGGGTTTAAATAGACTTCGTATCCTCATAACATTTCTGGAGGACAAGTGCTCTTGTCTCCATTTTACAGGTAATGAGATTGGGTTTGAAAATGAGGAAGTAATGTGTCCAAGACCACGCAGCTCATAAGTGTCAAAACTTTTGCTCAAGTTAAGAAACTCAAATGTCTGCTTCAGTGTTGTGTCAATAACTCATAAAGTACCCACAGAGTGACTACCTATAGAAATCTAGTGGATGGTGATTTGTTTCAAAAGGCCACTGACTTCTGCAGGCCTCCTTCCTGCCTGTTTCCTATCTATTTTCCTATTGTCCTGCCTCCATTCATCAGCATATGTATATATGTTTATGTATATGTATATATGTATATATATATGTGCCACATGCTAGGCACCAGGCTGTTCCCTATGCAAACAAAGAAGAATGAGACTCAGGCCAGGCCCAACAAAGCTTACCGTCTGGGAGTGGAAGTCACGCAGGACAGCAGGATTCCGTGAGATTCCATGGAGTCTGAGTCTGGCTGGTGAGACAGGAGAGGGGTACTGATGCCCCAGGCAGCATACTCTGCCCTCCTCCTCGTTTCCACGAGAGTGCTGCCTGTGTTCAGATCCAAGCATGAAAATTAAGGTTCGGTCCCCAAGTTCCTAATGTGCTTATAGTCACTGTGACACTGTCACTCACGGTTCTCTCCCAGCAGGATCACTTTGTACTTCCTGCATTGTGAACACAGTAGCTGTGTGATGTTGGATTTCTCTGATCCTTAGTTCCTTTATTTTATAAAAGAAAGAAGTAATAAAGGGAGAGAAAAATAAAGAGGAAAAAAAAAAAAGAAAAAGAAAAAGGGGACCGGTGCTGTGGCGTGGTGGGTAAGCCAGTGCCTGTGATACCAGAATCCCACTGGGTGCTGATTCATGTCCCAGATACTGCATTGCCAATCCAGATGTCCTGGGAACGCAGCGGAAGATGGCCCAAGTGTTTGGGTCCCTGCCACCCACGTGAGAGACCCAGATGAAGCTCCTTGCTACTGGCTACTGGCTTCATCATGGCCCAGTATTGGCCATTGCACCCATTTGGAAAATGAACCTGTGGATGGAAGATTTCTCTCCCTGGCCACCTGCCTCCTAACTCTGAGTTTCAAAGTAAATAAATAAATTAATTAAAAAAAAAGAAAAGAAATGAAGGAAGAGTTGGTGGAGGGAGCTGCCCTGTGTACCTCACAGAGATGTCACAGGATCAAATAAAGTTATAGTGTAATCCTAAAAAAAATATTAAGTAAATGCGAGGGCTTTTGTAGGTTATTAACATGGAACTGAAGGCTCTGGTGATGCCATCTCACTCACCATGACCACATGCAGGCCCTCTGGCTTCCAAATGTAATCACAAGGCTATGTCTTTAAAAAATAGTAATAATTTGGCCGGCGCCTTGGCTCAATAGGCTAATCCTCCACCTTGCGGCGCCGGCACACTGGGTTCTAGTCCCGGTCGGGGCGCCAGATTCTGTCCCGGTTGCCCCTCTTCCAGGCCAGCTCTCTGCCATGGCCCGGGAGTGCAGTGGAGGATGACCCAAGTGTTTGGGCCCTGCACCCACATGGGAGACCAGGAGAGGCACCTGGCTCCTGCCTTCGGATCAGCGCGATGCGCCGGCCGCAGCGGCCATTGGAGGGTGAACCAGTGGCAAAGAGAAGACCTTTCTCTCTGTCTCTGTCTCTCTCTCTCACTGTCCACTCTGCCTGTCAAAATAATGATAATAATAATTTATTAGAAAGATGGAGTAACAGATAGAGAGGGAGAGATAAAGAGAGAGACAGAGAGATCTTCCACCTGCTGGTTCACTCCCCAAATGGCTCTGACAGCCAGGACTGACGCAGGGCGAAGGCAGCAGCCCAGAGCTCCATCGTGGTCTCCCACATGAGTGGCAAGGAACCGAGCACTTGAGCATCTTCTGCTGTTTTTCCAGGCTATCAGTGTTAGGCTGGATCCAGAGCCCAGCAGCCAGGACTTGAAGCAGCACTCTGATGCGGGGTGCCGGCTTAACACAGTGCACCACGGTCAGCCCCACGGCCATGCCTTGAGTGCGGAACTCACCTGCCGGCTCACCTTGTCTCATCCTCTTTCTCCCGCCTGCAGCCCTCGTTCCCCACCACCGTCTGTTCACTCACCGCCTTGATCAAGTGCCTTCTCCTTTATCCTAAAGTCCTGCCCTTTCCCTCTTTTATGCCAATAAGTGTTGTGTAGCTCTCACAAAATCACCCACAGCAACAAGGACCAGGGCTCTTTGTTATCTCTGTCTTCGGCTTCTCTGCCTAGATAGGCCTTGTATAAATCAGGTGTTCCATAAAATGTGTGCTGAATCAAATCTGCTTCCTTTCTCCATGCTCTTCTCTGTCTGCCTCCAACACTGTTTCCCTAATCCATCACATGGCACATGGTACACACTCAGTTCACGCATCCTGGGAGCTGTAGGGCCAGCAAATTCAATGGACAGCCTCCGTAGCTCAAGCTCAGCTCAGCTACGTTACCCATCACAGGTGAGGGTATTAAGTTTGACAAACAAGCAGCTGTACCCTGTCGTGTGGGCAGGAAGAAAACAGTGGCAATAAAGTGCAGACTGCAAATAAGCAGGGAACCCAGATGATTTTAGGTGGCACACAGGTGACCTTCATTGCCAAATTACCTAGTCTCACATATATATTGAAATATAATTAGCATCTCACCCTTATGGTTTCCTAGATATTCTTTAATAAAAGATCTTGCATGTGAGTAAAAATGAGTTGATTTAAAGAAAAAACATACCAAAAATAATGGTCTCGGATATGACCAAATTGATGTGACGGTGATGCTCCAAGTTCCAGAAGCAGCAGGCAGAGAAAATCCTTCCTGGGGAGCAGAGGTGGTGATAAGGATAAAGCAGTCCCTGTTCTATGGGTGGCAGCCTCGGGTATTAACAGAATTATTTACAGCGCTGTGGCAGTGTGCAAGCCCTGTGTGTGAAAGAAAGAATGCAAGTGGAGGGTTCCTCATTAGCACCGGTGTCTCATGGAAATGAAGGGAGTTGCGGGGAGTGTCAGGGGAACACGGGAACCTTGGGGCGTCGCTGCCTGGGGCCCAGGGTTTCCTAGTGGCTGCAAGGTTTTCCATCTTTCCCCAGGACTGGCAGGTACAAAGGACCCAAGTGTGGGTTTGCTTTTCCTTTTTTTCTGCCAAGCACAACACTTTACAAAAAGAAAAACGCTTCAAAGGCACTGCTTTTCTCACATGCATTTCAGGGCTCCATTCAAGATCCACATTCATCTTCCTTATCCAATTACAGGATCAAAGCAGGAGCATTGGCCTACTTTGGGGGTTTAAAGACAGCAAGGGAAAAAACTAAGAACATTTAAAACTACTATCTTTATGCCACATATCTTCCTTCAGGAGAACTGGAATCTGCTTTCTCTGAACTAGCCTCTGGATTCAGAACGTCGGGTCAGAGAGTGCACACGCTCTGATTATCCAAGCCACGGAAGGGGCAGTTCCATCACTGTCGAATCCAATCTAATCTCAACCTGCGTGTCTTTTTTGCTCTCTATACAACTGAAAAGAACCTACTAGCCAAATCTTGTTTTTTTTTTTTTTTTTTTTTTTTTTTTTTTCTGATTAGTTTTAAAGATCTCATGTTAAAATAAAAATGACAGAAAAATAAATTGTAATATTACTTCATTAATCTCCCTAAAGCTACTTGTTCTAGTACATCTGTTCATTTCAATACTACAGTGCAGAGTTTATATTTTCTAAAATAGGACATGTCTTTTCCTTCGTATTACTAGCCTGGGATTTGAGGCCCTTGTTACAAGAAAAAAAATAGCAAATATGACATCCTCAGAAATATTTAAGCGAACAGACTGCTTATTGGTGGATTGATTTTTCTCTATGGAAATAAATCTTTGGCAGCCACCAGAATTGGGGTATAAAAAATGACCTTGGGCAGCTGCTGCCATTTGTTTCAGTGGGAAAATGAGGGTTTTGTCTCTCCCCAGGGGTTAATATTGCGATGCTCTGAACACCGTCAGGGCTCGGCTTCTGAAGGGTTCCAGCGAGGAGGAGGAATGCTTTGTGCTTTATGACAAGATCACGGCTTGTGCACGCTGTGATTTGCATCGCCCGTTTGTGCACAGGCCGTAAAAGTGCACTTTTTATCAGGGACATTTGTGAATATATAACAGCGCTGAAGACATATGGCCACTAAATAATTCACAGTTATCTATCTTCTCAGCAGATTCCTTATACACCTACCATGTTTTAATGCCTAGTTTGCTCAGAAACAATATTCTTTACGACCCTTCCAATATAAAAATGTTTACTGACTGGCAGCAGTATAGGGATACCATGGGATTGGGCTATAAGGAAGGAGAAACCTTTCCATTTTCTCTCCCTCTCCCTCTTTTCATCTGTTTTCCCTCAGTTCTTCCAGCCAGCACCCAACCTTACAGAAAAAGGTGCTTCTCCCAAAAGAAGGCACAGAATTCCTCCTGCTGGGGCTGTCGGGTGGGAGTCACTCACTAACCTGCACCCTCTTCTCGTTTCAGTTCCATATCCATTTACAGTCCCAAGGAGAATCCGAATACCTTTGATGCTGCGGCTTTCTTCCAGTCTGTGGGAAATTTCCTGGGGATCTTCGCCGGCTCATTTGCCATGGGGTCTGCATATGCTGTTGTCACAGCTCTGATATCCTTTGCCTGTGGGTGGAAAGATGGGGACTGTTCAGAGCAGTCAGTGGCCGTGGAAAGCCTTTGAGGCTGAGCAAACTCCAGGCCAGGAAATGGTTGGATAGTCTGGATCAAGTCTGATGTGGTGCCACTGAGGCCACTTGGGTTCTGAATTGACCCTGGAGGCATAGGTTGGTACTGTGTGGCAGAGGTGCCCAAGCTCTTTTCTTCTCCTAGGTCAGTTCCAGCACTGTTGATGCTGTCTGCTCCTAGACTATCAACAGTCTTTTTAAAAGGGCCACACGGGGAAAGGCAGGGGTCATTAGAGTTGGCCAAACTGGGGTCAAGTGGATGAAGATCCAAGGTCAAGAATAGGACAGGACTCAGTGGAGGAGTTAAAATGGGTATGCTCTGCTTCCTTGTTGAGCTTGTGTCAATTTCTAGCTCTCAGGGTTGGCCATGCCAGAGTTCAAATTCATTAAACTATGAATTTAAACAAAGATCTACAGGTAATTTGTAGAAGGTAGCCTTCAAGCAAGGAAGAAATGACATGTTTGTCAAGACCAGGCAATTGTATCATTTGATTCTCCCGTTTTTGCTAGGGATTTCCTAAAGTATCTATCTGAGCCAGGGAAAGAAAGAGGTCTCAAGAGCTGTTCACTTTGAACAGTGGGATGGGATGAAAATAAGTAGAGTTAAGGAGGGAGGCCAGAAAGCCAATATCCAGCATGAGAACTCAATGCAGACCACAGAGAAGGAAGAACAAGAGATCAATAGCCAGAGACCTCAGGGAAAAGAGAGGGAAACTATGCCGGAGGGGTCAGGACCCCAGAAAAAGCAGGAGCAAAATGTGGAGTCTTTTTCCCAGGGGAATGGATCCAGGGACTCTCTGAATAGCTGCTAAAAGGCTTGATTCTACACAGTATGTCTAAGGAGAATCAGAAGACGAGCAAACAGGATGCCTGCACTGATGAGTAACAAGCTTGGAAAGACAAGTTCCATATGAAAAGTTAGGTGCAAATTGAGTGCCACAGCCATATCCAAGTTATCAGGACTAAAAATTGCAGTGGACATGAGGCCATTGCATCCAATGGACTCTTGGCCAACTTTATGATTCTGGAAAATAATTTAACTATATATAAACACACACACGTATATATGAATACACACATATATATTTAGGGGGGGTGTCTATGCTTGTTCTGGAAGATAGGTATGTAGGGTACAGGAAAAAGCTATGTGGGGAGTGATTCAAGGGGGGAAGACCAGTACACTTGAAGGTGTGGGGCTGGCATTGACTGATACGGCACATGACGGATATGCCTAAGAGGAGCAGAAGTGTCTCCTGGTGAGAACTGGAAGACAAGAAGAAATATGTGGGATAGGGCCAGCTTTGGACTATCTTGCAGTGCTATTCAGAAGGGCCTAACCTGCCATCTGCCATCCACAATGGGGAGCTGAGGGTTTCAGGATAGTGACAGGCAAACAATCCTGTTTTTAAAACATGGATGAGGAACTGTTGTATAGGAGAGCTCAGAGAAAGAGAGTTGCGCGTTAGGGCCAAGGGAAACTGTGATGATGAACAAAGGAAGTACCAGGAAAGAGACTGGGGTTTAAAGGAAAAAAATCTCTAGGTCTTAATGATGAGTTGGTCCTAAGAGATCAAGAAGAGAACCAGGCCAAACACCACTCCCAAATTTTGTTCTGAAAACCTTAGAGAATGATGCCTCCATTGACAGAAATAAAATTAGAAAAGGTAGCAGTTGTTTCCAGCAACAAAATTAATGATCTACCCAGCACATGGGATATGTCAAGCCCTGGGTGCTTGTTTTTCAGGCAGTGTCTCACCTCACTGTCACAAGGACCCTAGCAACAGGTAATGTTTTTATCAGACACTGATGCTTAGAAAGGGTAAGCTGTTGCCTGAGGTCATGCAACCAGGACATGAACACAGAGAGTGAGAACCAAGAAGCAGACCATGCTCTTGATCCCTGCCCCCTGCTGCTTTTTAATGATGAAGTGGAATGGTGGTAGAATCACATGCTGGTTAGCATAGAGTGTTAGCAACAATGACACTGACATCTAGTGAATGCGTACCGTGTGCCAGGGCCTTTGTATGCATCTCCTCGTTTGAATCAACCCTGTAAGACAGGAGGAAACTGAGGCTTCAGCAGGTTAAGTAGCTCACTCTGGGTCATAAGTCAGTAATAATACATGCAATAATAATATCGTCTAACGTTTATTGAGAACTTGACTATGTGCCAGTCATTGCTGTAAGTATTTTACATGCATTATCTCAGATAGTTTTTATAAGAAGCCTGGAAGGTAGAGACTGTTATTATCCCAATTTTACAGCTGCAGAAGCTCAGACAATTAAGGTTAAACAACTTAACTAAGGTCAAACAAGCAGGACATTTCTGGGCCAGGATTCAATTGCAGGCTTCTTAGCTCCTGCACAAAGTGGAGAAGCTGAAGTGGGAACTCCTGGGTGCCTGGAGTGAGGGGAGGCATGGACAGAGCAGTAAACAGGTTGATGAGGGACGGGGGGAAAGTCCCTGGGGATTGGACAGCTACTGTGAGTTTGGAACAGATCTGGAAGAAGGGCTGTAGAGGCACAAGAGACAAGGGCTCGCTAACAGTGGCGCAACTGATCGCGTAGCACTTGCCGGCCTGTTAACAGGGCTACAAGCACAGGCTGTGAGGGGGGCAGGTGCACACCTCATCCACACTGAGCGCATCTCCCCAGGTTCCCGGGCTCTGGATTTGGAGTCCACCCAGAACTGAGCTACTTTCTGGAGGAGGCTGAAGGAAACGAATGCTGTGTAGATGGTTGATGCTCTGTTGCTCAGAGGGGCCTGAGCAGAATTCAGAGCAACAAACCCACTAGAAACAAAGTCTTCCCTCCAAGGAAGAAAACGGGAATATTGAAAATGGTTTCACTTTCTCATCCCAGGTAAATGATTCCTTCCAGATCTTAGAGATTCTATTTCCAAAAAAGATATATTACCCCAAAAATGTTCATTTAAGTCACAGTAACAGAGAAAACAGACATCGCTTGTTGCATGCCTGGCACTGCTCTGAGTACCTATTGCAGTACACATGAGACAGTGCGTATATTAGCTGGTTTGTATAGCTATGAGGTGGGTTGTGTCATTAGCCCCGTATTCAGACAGGTGTCTAAGCAGAGACTGTAGATTTGAACCTAGGTGGAGTTGCTGTCCAGAGGCCATGCTGCCTCATGGTACTTCGTGCTTTCGAAAACTTTCCAAAACATTGTAGCACACTACATCTCCTTTCACACTCCACATGCAGAAGCAAGTATTATTTTCATTGCCAAGTCCCATAAGAGAGGAATGAGGCTCAGAGAGGTCATCATACAGCTCAGAAGTCACACAGACACTGATGAGCAGAGCCAAGAAAGAGACCCAGATCCTCCCCAGAGGTCATGCTTTTGCTTCCCTGCCCCAGTGCTCAAGTGTCTTCACATGAAATCTTCTTTAGATTTTATTCTAAAAGCACAAAATGCAGTATGATTCCATCTCCTTATTTGTCAGGGCATTTTGTGCCTAATAGGGACGCAATTAAATGTAGCTTTTTCTGACTAGTCACATACCCCTTGTAATCATCCCAAATCCCTTTCTCTTCCCAGCCTGGATCATTACCCTTTCGTCCTATTTGCAATTTATAGACCATCGAGAAGTGTCATTCCTGCAGAAATGAACCATTGCCTAGCAAAGGGTATCTGGTCTTAGACATAGCATAGCATACCTTCTCTCCCACATGCTTACACCAAGAGGGCAGAGGCAGATTCCCTGTCTGTGAATCTCACTGCTCCTCCTAATCCTATTTCCATCCCCAGAGAGACTCTAAGCCGCGGACCCACAGTCTGCATTTCCCTGGGGAGCAGCGCCTCCTGGGTGCTGATGAGCTGCAGTGTCATATCCCAGCCCCACTGTCCTGGGCTTTGCGTTCCCTTGTCTGCTAGAGTTCTGTGGGCTGTATTCCAGAGGCTTTTTCTTTTTTCTTTTTGACAGGCAGAGTGGACAGAGAAAGAGAGAGAGACAGAGAGAAAGGTCTTCCTTTGCTGTTGGTTCACCCTCCAGTGGCCGCCGCGGCCGGTGGGCTGCGGCCTGGGCGCTGCAGCCGGCGCACCCCGCCTATCCGAAGGCAGGAGCCAGGTGCTTCTCCTGGTCTCCCATGGGGTGCAGGGCCCAAGCACCTGGGCCATCCTCCACTGCACTCCCTGGCCACAGCAGAGAGCTGGCCTGGAAGAGGGGCAACCGGGACAGAATCCAGCGCCCCGACCAGGACTAGAACCCAGTGTGCCGGCGCTGCAAGGTGGAGGATTAGCCTAGTGAGCCGCGGCGCCGGCCCCAGAGGCTTTCTATCCACAGCTAGCTGATCTTCTACAAGGAGTCTTCAAAAAGTTTGTGGAAAATGCATATCAAGGGAAAACTGTGTGGATTTCAAGTGTTTTGCAACAAAATACATTTCTTTTCATCCCATTTTCCACTGCCTTTTTGAAGTACCCTTGTATTGTTCATAAGACATCATTTTTACGTGAACACAGATTTGAATTTTTTTGCAGGCACTTTCAGTTCCCCATACAGCATGGATCGCATGCTGGCCTTCAGAGCGGGTCCCGGTGAGAGTTACAGCCTTCCAATCAGGTCTGAAAATCGGCCTTTTCCTCTGAAGCCATCAAATACGGATCATTTTCCCTCTGTCAGGAAGGAGACTTAGCTGTGAAAGCAGTTGTTGTTTCCCTTAACACAGCTTCATCACTTGACCAAATTTACCAAACTCTGTGAGTTCCCGATGCTGGAAACAGGCCTGTTTTTCCTCCTTTCTTGGAGCGCCTTCCTGTCTGCAGAGGCCGCCGGCCTAACAGGTGAGTGCTTCGTGCCGCACAGGGACTGGGATGTGTGAATGTGCGTGTGTCTAGCTATGTACCCCTGCCTGACCAAACAGGAGGTGAGAGGACATCTCCCTGAAACAGAGTGTGAATAGTTTGTATCAGAATCAGCCTCCCCTGGGTACCCTGGGAGGAAAAACAAATTATAACTCACCTGTTTTATATAAATAGCTTAACAAAGTCTCCAGGTGCTTCCATCTCCTCCCTTGCTGGATGGGAGGTGGTGGTGGGAATGTCGAGGTGACTGACCTTGAATGGTGATGGCTGACTTCACGGATGCATGTCTCTATTCAGAGTGGGCCGGGCCGCACACCCTGCCCTGAGACGGCGGCTGGTGGCCTTCCATGGCTCTCCACAGCAGGTTCCAAATGCAGGCAGCCTTTACGGGGCCACACATCCATGTTCGAAATCTCTGCAACTACATCATGGTGGCTCAGGAAACAAGGAGCAGACATGGGGGCTCTGCTGTCCATGGCTGTCACCGCAGGAGGGTACTTAGAAAAGTTCACGGAAAGACCAGGATAAGTACCTGGCTCCCGCCATCGGATCAGCGCGGTGCGCCAGCCGCAGCGCGCTGGCCGCGGCGGCCATTGGAGGGTGAACCAACGGCAAAAGGAAGACCTTTCTGTCTGTCTCTCACTGTCCACTCTGCCTGTAAAAAAAAAAAAAAAAAAAAAAAAAAAATTCACGGAAAACAGAATTAAAAGACATTCGTTTTGGTACAAATTGAGAAATCCATGCACAGCTTTTGTTTGTGTGTTTGTTTTGCCAGTACACATCTTTCATGAAGTTTCTGAAGACGCCTCTTAGAGAGTCCTCTGAGGTGACAGAGTTGACAGAGACAAGGGCAGTCCCTAAGGACTTGAGGGCTATGACTGGGTGATCTGAATTGAGTGACTAGATTGGCTTGCTTTCTACTACAGCAAGGGTTTCCACTTTGGGCAGCTGCAATGATGGGTTGCTTCTCCAACTAAAAGAATCACTGAGGCCCCGAGCAGAATGCCAAAGCTCTGTCTCTCCTTGGGTCTTAGTTTCCGGCTTCTCCCAGATTTCAATCCTGGGTCTCTCCTTGCCTCCTTGATCCTAACTGATTTTAAAGTAGTGAAATGCCAGGCCAGCTAAATGATGAACTGGTAACTAACATATGGCTCCGGGTATTTGCATTTCAATAGCTGATGTCTTAAGCCAACTAGTAAAATAGTAATAATAATTGGCACATAGTGAGAGGGTAGAGCTAGCTCCTCTTCACAGATGACCTCATTCATTGACAGAGAGACTCAAAGTATGAAAGTATTCGCAGTTTTCTCAGCCAGCAATGAATGGTGGAGCCGAGATTTAAAACCAAGAAATGTGACTCCAGATCCTGGGCTCTTGGGCACCATGCATTCTACCTTGAGTGGAACTCTCTGTCTGTGGAATGTTAAGCAGATTTTCAAAGAGTGCAAAGACAGTTGGAGCCTCATGGGCCTGCCTTGTTCATTTGCTTGTAGGCTGGTTTCTGGCTCTCTTGTAAATAACATTTCAAATCTTTTTAGTGATGTTACTTTATTGCTCTAATCAGCTGACCCAACTTACTACAGAGTTGCCCTGGCCGAGCTGTTGCCAGAGACATCAAGGGTGTATGTTGCTGGTATAGAAAGTCACCCTGCCAGTTGATATGACACAATAATCAAGACTACATTACCAGATTCTGCCCTGCTGGGTGCTCTTGTACCCAAATCATCTCAACACAGAGTTTGTGGTGTTGGTACCTTCACGTCATTTAGGAAGTTGCTAAGGAGATTGTACATTTTGGCCTACACATGTCCCGTGAAAAAAAGCAGCTAAACCATGCAATTGTAGTCATCCAAAAAATTTTTTTTCTTTCACATTCTATGCCTTATTCAGCACTTAATTTGTGAAATGATCTAAGAAATGTTAACAAGAATACATATTTGACCTTCCAGAAAAGTATGGAAATGTCCTCACTTAATATTTTTTGGTCTAATGTTGACCATTGCAACACACACACACACACACACACACACACACACACCATTGCCTAAGAATTGTTCTCTTCTCTGTGTGGAAGTTGTCTTTTACTTCCTGGTCCATTTCAGCAAGATCTTGTTCTGTGAACCATTTTAAAGGTCACAGTCTATGGAAACTGTATAAATTGCTAGTTTATCTGCACCTGGCTCTGTTACCACTCCTTTCAACCTGATACCCTTTTTGGAAATCATGTATGCTACCTCTAAGAAGCCTGCCTAATGGGATGTGCAAATGCAGATCCAGGCCTCAGTAGCAGGAAAACTTGTATGTCCAAGGCTGTGCTCAAGGGCTGATCCACACCCAGCAATACTCTAGATTTAGGCAAAATGCCTAACAGGCATTTGGAAAAAACAAATTCTAGATTTGAGCATTTTCTATTGCTGAAGAACAACCCTGCTTAGTCCAAATTACTTGTATATTTGTGTGTTTATTATTTAATCCTTGCCTGTTTCCAAATTGAATTTGAGACAACTCATAACATGAGCCATGCATATCATGGGACCGTTTAGTGGAGGGTAAACACTCAAGTGCTCTGGGATAGTTTTTCTGCAAAATTAGACAGCTGTTCATTGCTGTAGTTTGGCAATAAATATAGCTCTGAGCTTTCTGGCAGCCAAAGCTAAAAGGGAAACATGATGAGTTACATAGGAGTAGTATAGCATTATGAAGGGAAGTCTCATTTATACAACTGGGCAAACTCTGTATGACATTAAAATTTTAAGGGATTTATCACATGCATCCTTATATAACTGCGTTCGAACACCAGAATAGGCAATGTATTTCATAATAATGTGAAGGAAAAGGGAGATCCATTCATCATGTAGTCATTTCACATATCAACCTTTAATAACATTTGAGATCATTCATATGAGAGTCATTTCAATATAATGATAACATCTTTTTAGTTCTAGTCTACAGGTAGAGTAATATGGTACAATGCAAAAATTGATAAAGTTTTTAAAAAAATGCTTGACAAATGAATGTACAACAATCAATATGATGAACTAAAATAAAACAAGCTATTAAATAGTCTGTGAGTAATATAGGGGTAACTAGCAACCATGGGGCCTGTGGGTTCACTTACAACACATCATGTGCGTCCTAGTGGTGGTGTTAACATGCAGTAGTTTCTCAGTAGACCCCCTGAATCCTGACCTTCACAGTGGACATTCAAGGACACCTACCACTGAGCAGGGCTCTAGGGCTGCCACTCTTGGGTCATCTTATTGTTTCTATGAATTGAGTCTTAACATAAAATTGCATTTGAAAAAAACGTTTTTGCTATTTTCAAAACAAAGGATACCTGTTTTCACGTAATTTTTTTCATTTTTTCTTATTCCCAACATAATGCATATTAATTGTAGAAAATTTTTAAAATGCAGATTCATAAAATAAAATTGCAATAACTGATATTCTTACCACCTATTGATAACTATTGTTAATATATAACTGTATCCCTATACACACATACACACAATTAAATATATACTCTTAAATATTTAGTCATGTATATATAGATCATTATACTTTTGATTTAATAAGTAGCTTGCATTTTTTATTCAGCAACTTAACAGTGAATGTATGAACTTGCCATATTTTATCCACCAACATCTTCATTGTTCATGGTTTTTAATATTATTGTAATGATAATCCTCATAGCAAGATATGTGGATTTTTATTTCTGTAACTGCCTAAAAATAAAATTTCTGTGCTAGTAAAACTAAAATTTTAATGTTTCCTCTAGAAGATGTGTATCCCTTTTATTTCCCCCAAAACAATATAAAAGAGCACTCACTAACTCACTCCCTCCATGCTAAATATTATTAATCATTTTAGTGTGCATGTGTACTTTCTTTTAATAGTTGTCTGGCATTAGTTTGCACTAGAATCCCATTAGGATTTGTTTTGATGTGAGTTATGGGGTAGAGATTTAATATTCTTTCCAGATGCTGAGTCGCTTGCTTTAATGCCTGCTAACCTTTTCCTATGAATTTAAATGTCTGTGTGTGCATGTACATATACTGTGTGTATATGTTGAGACTTCAGAAGGTTCCTGGGAAATGGAATTAAATCACATGTTTATTTGGGTGGGAAAAAATTGAAATCCATGCATAGTTTTTTCATACTGTACATTTTCTATGCACATTTTGTAGACCCTTTGCATTGTTCCACTGAGCTTTTGATTTTCACCATTTTAATTATTTCAGCTTCATGCTTCATTTTAATATCTAGTAGATCAATCTCTCACACCCCTTCCCCACTTTCAAAAGTCCTTATGCTATACTCACATATTTAGTACTCCAGATGGACTTGAAACTAAGTTGTCAGATTCCATACAGAAAATAACTTTGGTATTACAATTGTGGGTACATTAAATTTTTAGATTAATTTGAAGAGACGAGATCGTTTTATAATATTCAGTCTTCCCACCCAGGAATATATTATATGTCTCTATTTATTTGAGTCCCTCATTTTATGACCCTCAGTAAAATTTTTATAATTTTATAATTTCTTGTTAAATATCTTTTTAACTACTTTATATTTTAAGATGTTATAATGAATAGGAACTTCTGTGATTATAGCTTCTAATTCATTTTTGTATATATGCATGTAGGTTTCACTACTTTTTTATTTACTCTGTATTTCTGAGACATAGATCTAGAGCTGATGTGCAGCGTTAGGATTGATGAACAGAAGCTGTAAAAGACTAGCAGGTGCAGGAAGGCTTTCTCAGCATTCCCAGTGTGACCACAGCATCCTTAGCACTCAACAGATAACTTTTGAGTAATAGAATGCGTGAATTTTGCTCAACAAAAGCAAAAGTTCCCATCATCTGAATAACAGACCGCCTTATGGAGTAGTAATAATATTATTAAAGTAAAAATATTCCTACAATTTCTTTATGTTCACTGGTCAGAATTTCAGAGAGAGGATCCATACATCAG